AAGCAAAAGCACTTTATTTGGCCTTCCGGAAGTAGATGCAATTAGGAATCATTGGTTAAGATTTATTTACAACAGAGCAGCACAACCCAGATGTTCGAATTTGTGCAACGCATTTTATGGACGACAGTTTTGTGAACCTATGAGAGGTTAGCTTTCAACTTTCAAGGCTACAAACTTTGCACCCTACAAGGCTATACAAGGCTGGCTGTGCAAAGGCTAGTTCTAAAAAAATGTTTATGTTTATGTGCTCATGTTTATAACAGTAATCTTGGGGGGTAGACTCATTTAAAATAATGTAATCATCAGGTTTTAGCCAGGTTTCTGTCAAACAGAGCACATCTAGGTTATGATCAGTGATCATATCATTTACAAAAAGTGCTTTCGTAGAAAGGGACCTGATATTCAATAAGCCAAGCTTTATCATTTGTTTATCTGTATTACATCTGATTTTTATTTGTTGAACATCAATTAAATTGTTACTCTTAAATTTGTTTTAACGTTTTTTGTATTTTCTAGTTCGGGGAACAGACACAGTCTCTATAGTGTGATATCTAGGTGAAAGAGTATGACATAGGTATTACAATGAGAAGGTGATTTATGAGGACATTTTGAGTGTCCCCATATTTCAAGGCTTATAAATCATTCAGAATGAGTTTTTTTGAAAATCAAAAAATGCAGACGGTTTCCTGTAAGGGAGAGAGGGCGAGAGAGAGAGAGAGAGAGTGAGCGTGTGTGTGTGGTGTGTGTGTGTGAGAGAGAGAGAGAGAGAGAGAGAGAGTGTCTGAGCGGTACTGAACATTTCTTCTCCACACACACATTCTCCATATATGGTCGGCCCCGCCCACTTCCTCGTCCTCATTCGGAACGATATCAGCAGCAATATGAAAATATGAGTATTACATGGACACTTCACTCAGACGGAGGATAAGAAGTTTGTTTACAGGAGATACCGACTCGAGGAGATTGTTTGCAGGAGATGCTTGTCACGGTACGTGTGGAGAGATGAAGCGAGGACTCAAGTGCAGAATGAATGGTTCCTTCTTTTAATAATACAATGAAACAAAAACAAACTAAAACAACCCCGAGGGGGAAAAACAGACAGGCAGGCTAGGAACTGGATTACATCATGTTGGCTGATCCGTTCTGTCACGGTGCGTGTGGAGAGATAAAGCGAGGACTCAAGTGCAGAATGAATGGTTCCTTCTTTTAATAATACAATGAAACAAAAACAAACTAAAACAACCCCGAGGGGGAAAAACAGACAGGCAGGCTAGGAACTGCACTACATGCAGACATAACACACACAATGAAAAACGACGGATCAGCACAGGATTACAGACACCAGGAGAATAAATGGGAAACCAAACGAGGAGGCTAACGAGGGAGACACAGGTGGAGCAGCTTAAACAATAATGAGGTAACAAAATGGGCGGGGCAAGACAATGGACAGGAGAGAGCACATGGCACCAAACAAACACAACACAAGCCATGTGCTCACAGAAAACAGTGTCATCTGGTGGCCATCCTGGGCACACCCGCTGAAGACTGTGACTATGCTAAAGTTGTGCAGAGGAAAAAGTGAAGCACATTTTAAACCAATTAGGTTAATTTAGGGCTGGGCAATTTTCCCGATTTTATCGATTAATTCGAATTTATTGTTTTGCCACTATTTTATTTTTTAGAAATCGAGGAATCGCGATTTTCAATAGAAATATTACCAAATGTTAGAATAAGACACTTTGACAATAGGCTATGCCGGTGATAACAGTAAAGAGTAAAGAACGATCCGACCGCATGTCGGCGCACGTGATTAACCGTTCACGTGTGACGTGTTTTGTGAAGGACCATAAATATAGCGCTAAGCCCATTCACACAGAATGAGCTTTTGTGTTGACAAAGATGCGACGCGGGCAGTGGAATAGGTAAAACATGCAAAAAGATGGGAGTGAATTTTCTTTAACTAGAGGGTTAATAAAGAAAAAGTAATTTGAATAATGTTGTAGTTACATTTTCAAGTTGACTAGTTAAAAATCGTAAAAAAATGAGAATCGGTCAAACATTCTGGAAAAATCGTGATTCAAATTTTTGGCTAAATCGCCAGCCCTAGGTTAATTAGATCTAAATAGGTCGCAGGCTAGCTAGTTAGCGCTAATTAACTGTTGAGGCTAAGGCCTACGTGTTGCTGTAATATGTCTATGTTTTTCAATTGGCGATCGCATAATCATACAATTTAATGTTTAGGTAGTATTTTTGACTGAAAAGCTTTATCAAATCTTTAGCCTGACTGATTGCTAATGGAGCGATTCGGTTAATATTAAGTTTGTTTCGGTCTAGTTCGCGTTAGTTCTGGAGGGGGGAGGGGAATTATTTTATATTTTATATATAAAAAAAAAGTTATATATCTTGTTAGGCCACGGGTTTAAATCGCCTTTTGCGGGGGAAAGGTGGGGATTATTGCACCCATTGCGAACATTAACCATGGTTTTGATACAAAAAAACAGTTTAGATTGTATTTGTGTGCTTATATAAATGTTAGACAATGCGCAAAAACATGGTTTTACTATAATAAAACCAGTTTGTTTGCTTTTTTGTCATATTGATTAACCGGGTTCGTGTCAAAGTGCTTCACAGAGAAATGAAATAAAATAAAAAAAGGTAAGTAGCTTTAAATGAATAAATGATTAACGTTAAACTTCGATTTAGTAATGACTAGTTAAAGGGGTCATATCATGCGATTTCTATTTTCCCTTTTCTTTAGTGTGTTATGTAACTATTTGTGCATGTATAAGATCTGCAGAGTTACAAAGCTCAAAGTCTCCCACAAAAGGATGTATTCTATCTAAAAGAGAAGGCTGATCCAGACTGGGCTAAAACGCCTCTTTCGAACACGCCCCCACATCTCTACATCACGATGTGGAAATATTTGCGTAATGCCGCCCAAATGTGCACGCAAAGAAAGAAGGCGTGGTTTCAGGA